AGATGTTAATAGAACAGTCTGTCCTTCAGGCGAGGATCCAATTAAAGAATGAGAGACATTAATACACAGATAAGGAAATATTTATAGAGAAGAATAAAAAGGTTCTATTAGAACCTTTTTATTCTTCTTCACCTGCTCAGTTCCTCTAAATATGCATTGATCTACAGCAGGTAAAGAAATAAAACCCTAATATTATCCTGGCCATAAAACGCCTGGGGAGCTGGTTGACAGTTGCCTTTTGTATCTATGCTTCTTTTTCTATGTCTGCTTCTGTCTCCTTGAACCCCAGTGGGCCTCAGCAGATGGCCGCTNGTTCTGCTCTTGGTTCTGCTGGTGGTTCTGCTGGTGGTTCTGCTCTTGGTTCTGCTGGTGGTTCTGCTGGTGGTTCTGCTCTTGGTTCTGCTGGTGGTTCTGCTGGTGGTTCTGCTCTTGGTTCTGCTGTTGGTTCTGCTGGTGGTTCTGCTCTTGGTTCTGCTGGTGGTTCTGCTCTTGGTTCTGCTGGTGGTTCTGATGCTGGTTCTGCTCTTGATTCTGCTGGTGGTTCTGATGGTGGTTCTGCCGTTGGTTCTGCCGGTGGTTCTTCCTGTGGTTCTGCCAGTGGTTCTGGACCAAAGTGTTGATGGTTCTGTCTGCTGTGTTTCCGTAGATGCCGGCGGACCTGTCGTCTCTGTCGGAGGAGGAACGCCGCGCTCGCCAGAAGAGGCGGGAAGTGAAGAGGACCAGAACCAAGACAGAAGATGTTTATGAAGACGACTTTAAGGTGGACAGCTACAGCCACCTGTGGAAGAGGAAGTGATGTCATCAGGCAGCGCCGCTGCCCCCTACTGACTGAAAGCAGCCATTGCTTGGAGGCTGTCCATCATCCGGCTTCATGCAGGCTGGCCCAGCGGCTCCTCCCACCCCCTGGTTGCCTTTCTGGATGCTGTAGATCTATGCTGCCCTCAGCTGATGTGTATCTGGTTGTCATAGATCTACGCTGCCTTCAGCTGATGTGTATCTGGTTGTCATAGATCTA